CAACAACCAGTCCCCTCTGCAACACCAGCCAGCAACCAGTCCCCTCTGCAACACCAGCCAGCAACCAGTCCCCTCTGCAACACCAGCCAGCCACCAGTCCCCTCTGCAACACCAGCCAGCCACCAGTCCCCTCTGCAACACCAGCCAGCCACCAGTCCCCTCTGCAACACCAGCCAGCAACCAGTCCCCTCTGCAACACCAGCCAGCAACCAGTCCCCTCTGCAACACCAGCCAGCAACCAGTCCCCTCTGCAACACCAGCCAGCCACCAGTCCCCTCTGCAACACCAGCCAGCCACCAGTCCCCTCTGCAACACCAGCCAGCCACCAGTCCCCTCTGCAACACCAGCCAGCAACCAGTCCCCTCTGCAACACCAGCCAGCCACCAGTCCCCTCTGCAACACCAGCCAGCCACCAGTCCCCTCTGCAACACCAGCCAGCCACCAGTCCCCTCCGCAACACCAGCCAGCCACCAGTCCCCTCTGCAACACCCAGCCACCAGTCCCCTCTGCAACACCAGCCAGCCACCAGTCCCCTCTGCAACACCACCAGCCAGTCCCCTCCGCAACACCAGCCAGCCACCAGTCCCCTCTGCAACACCAGCCAGCCACCAGTCCCCTCCGCAACACCAGCCAGCCAACCAGTCCCCTCTGCAACACCAGCCAGCCACCAGTCCCCTCTGCAACACCAGCCAGCCCAGCCAGCCACCAGTCCCTGCAACACCAGCCAGCCACCAGTCCGCAACACCAGCCAGCCACCAGTCCCCTCCGCAGCCAGCCACCAGTCCCCTCTCAACACCCAGCCACCAGTCCCCTCTGCAACACCAGCCCAGCCCCTCCGCAACCCAGTCCCCTCACCAGCCAGCCACCAGCAACACCAGCCAGCCACCAGTCCCCTCCGCAACACCAGCCAGCAACCAGTCCCCTCCGCAACACCAGCCAGCCACCAGTCCCCTCCGCAACACCAGCCAGCCACCAGTCCCCTCCGCAACACCAGCCAGCCACCAGTCCCCTCTGCAACACCAGCCAGCCACCAGTCCCCTCTGCAACACCAGCCAGCAACCAGTCCCCTCTGCAACACCAGCCAGCCACCAGTCCCCTCTGCAACACCAGCCAGCAACCAGTCCCCTCTGCAACACCAGCCAGCCACCAGTCCCCTCCGCAACACCAGCCAGCCACCAGTCCCCTCTGCAACACCAGCCAGCCACCAGTCCCCTCCGCAACACCAGCCAGCCACCAGTCCCCTCTGCAACACCAGCCAGCCACCAGTCCCCTCTGCAACACCGGCCAGCAACCAGTCCCCTCTGCAACACCAGCCAGCAACCAGTTCCCTCTGCAACACCAGCCAGCAACCAGTCCCCCTCTGCAACACCAGCCAACAACCAGTCCCCCTCTGCAACACCAGCCAACAACCAGTTCCCTCCGCAACACCAGCCAGCAACCAGTCGTATCTATTCTATGCTGGCAACATATGTGACTACACAACCCTTGGAGTGCCTAGGAACTTATTATCTCCCCCTCTTGAATCACTCATCATCCTCCATGCTATACACACACATTAATGTTAACACATCGTGCGAACAGGAGGGTGAGAGCAGGAAATAAAACATGACAAAGGGAAGCTGATACACGAAGAGGAGAACTGCCAACAACTTGATAAATAAACGTAGGAAGGGGGGGGGGGGAGAATTGGTTAAAGGATTGTCTGTAACGTAATGACAAATAAAATAAATAAAATAAAATGTTTATTTAGGTAAGGTACATACAAAAAATAATATTTTTACAAAGATTGGTTGACTTATAGGTAGAGCTAGTACATACAATGCCTGAAGCCACTATTACGCAAAGCGTTCCGGGCATTCGGTGCGGGTTTCGTTTCATGTCAAATTAGCACTTATTATTGTCTAATTCATTGTGTCAGGACACAGACAACCAGTTTATTCACACAGTGTATAATGACCTTTGATCTTGTATTGATTTTTTCCTGCCTCACCTCTTGGCTGTAATTACTGACCCTTCCCCAGGATGCCACCCCACAACAAGCCGACTAACTCCCTGGGTACCTACTGACTGCTAGCTGAACACGGGTGTTAGGTGATGGGAAACGCGACCCCAACCATTTCTGTCTCGCCTGGGATTCGATCCCGCAATTCTCTGTTGTGAGTCTAGAACGAAGCCGACTGTACTACCAGGGCCCTATTATGCTGTAGATGAGGTACATGGCTCTCCCCGAGTCTCTCTCACACCTTCCCTTCTTACCCAATCTCCCTACTTTTTATTTTCTTCCCATATCCCCCTCTCTTCTTCCCTCTCTACTATCGCCACCCCTCACCTCCCCCCTCTCTTCTAAACTCTCACCTTTGATCCACTCTCCACTTCTTCCTCTCGACTCTCCTTTCCTCAATTCGAGCGCCCTCTTCTTCCCCCAGCTCTGAAAATCTGCTGACCCTACGGAAACCACATATCTGGGGTAAATTCTCTTAAGTTCCTAAAGGAGGTGGGTGAGGAACTCCTTAGGCCAACTAGAGACTCAAAAGCGACCAGTTTCATTTTTCAGCGCCTCAGTGTCGCGGTCCAGAGAGGAAATGTGTGCTGTATCTTGGACACGCACCCCACCTCCGAAAAGCTGGATGAGGTCTTCAAACAATGACTGCTAAATGTGTGTGTGTGAGTGTTTTGTAAACCTTAACCTAATGTAAGAAAATAAATCATATTGTATAAAGTAATAAAAAGTAGGAGTGGTAGGAGAAGAAAGTATTAAAGTGGTTAGTGAGAAGCAACAAGGTCTATCTGAAATCCTTTATTCTCTTCTGAGAGGCTATGGGTCCCGTGCACCAGAGGTGTCCCCTTATTATATATATATATATATATATATATATATATATATATATATATATATATATATATATATATATATATATAAACTCTCACCCCAGAAGTGACTCGAAGCCATACTGCCAGAAGCACTCTGCAACTGATGTACAGGATCCCTTAACCACTCGCCCATCACGACCGGACAAAAGAGGATGGTAGCCGATGCCTGGAGACCGTTCAGGCTTGTTCGCATTTGTGTTCTTCACGTGTGCCCCAAAGAATGAGGTGATTTGATAAAATACCATCCCCAAGATTACCATCAGAGTGCCAGCGGGAGGATGGGGAATTAGCCTCGACTATCATCCTCTTTTGTTCGGTCGTGATGGTCGAGTGGTTAAGGGATCCTGTACATCAGTTGCAGAGTGCTTCTGGCAGTATGGGTTCGAGTCACTTCTGGGGTGTGAGTTTTGCAATGATCTCCCCAAAAGAAAAACAAATCGGCTCAGCATACCTTCAGTAAAGTGAAGTGATATCAAAATTATGACGATGTCACTCACACATTTATAGTTATTCAGCTCCCCATATCAACCTCTGTATCAAACCTCCCTTCACTCACACAGTCCCACGTTCACGCTATTAATAATGAGAGAGAGAGAGAGAGAGAGAGAGAGAGAGAGAGAGAGAGAGAGAGAGAGAGAGAGAGAGAGAGAGAGAGAGAGAGAGAGAGAGAGAGAGCGAGCGAGCGCAAAGGGAAATGTGTTGGGATGCCATATATGAACCATTTATTACTGTTATTTCACAGCATTTTACCTGGCTTTGCGAGTATGATGCAGATGTCATGGCTGTGACATCAGGTCACCTCGAACACCAAGTCCAACCGGCCACTGCCAGATTCCCCTATATAGTATTTTTATAATAATCAGAATGAGATATATGTGTTTCACATTTAATGAATGAGATATACATGTCTTCATGTGAGAGAGATGTCTTTCTTCCCAGATTATCACGACCATGACATCGGGGTTGTGATGACTGATACCGAGATGTATTTCAAAGTGATTAGATTAAAAAAAACAGCATTTTACTACAGATGAAATTTAATATGCAAATTCCCACCCTTCAGCTGAAGCGACTAGTATCAATAACACGTTAATAGTAAAATCCAACCTAAAATCAGATAGCAAGAAATGCTGTAGAAAAATAGCGAACTAGAAATACAAAGAAAAAGGAACAGTGAGAGAGAGAATTAGTTACACTGCGGGGGAAAGAAAAATTGTAGAATTGGAGATAAAGAGAGAGTACCAGCTCAAAGAAATTTAGTATTCAGACCAATTAGGCTGTCTTAGTTTGGAGAGCACCAGCAACTTTGATGCAAGTACAAACATTCGATTTCAATGTGGGGAAAAAGGTAAAATGTTTTTTAGCCACATTTTGAGAGGTTTGTTCACAATCACTCCGACAACCGACCGATCCTCAGTCATGACCTTTACACAGTGACCTGCTTTGTTGAACAATACATTGTATTTTCATTTGCGAAGATTAATGCTTTGATGAGAGATGCATTTTCTTGTTGCATGAACTAGTAATTAAGACTTAAACTACAATATATAAATATCATAAACATTAGAGAGCTAATCGTTTATTGAAGTTTAATTTAGAGATTATTAATTAAGTTAACATGTAAGATGGTTAACAAAGTTTATCATATAAGAGCAATGTGTCAAGATTGAAGATTAAACAAATAATAATAATTTTATAATAATTTTTCTTATTTGTTTTTCTTAATTATTATAAATAATAATTTTTCTTTGTTCACCAAGGAGACCTTGAACACAACAATGATGTTGTGTTCAAGGTTCCTTGGTGAACGAAGAAAAATATTGTTTCACTCAAAACCCCTTTGTTGGTAACATATACACTTTTGATCACGTAACTGTTGGTAACATATACACTTTTGATCACGTAACTGTTGGTAACATATACACTTTTGATCACGTAACTGTTGGTAACATATACACTTTTGATCACGTAACTGTTGGTAACATATACACTTTTGATCACGTAACTGTTGGTAACATATACACTTTTGATCAAGTAACTGTTGGTAACATATACACTTTTGATCAAGTAACTGTTGGTAACATATACACTTTTGATCAAGTAACTGTTGGTAACATATACACTTTTGATCAACTGTTGGTAACATATACACTTTTGATCACGTAACTGTTGGTAACATATACACTTTTGATCAAGTAACTGTTGGTAACATATACACTTTTGATCAAGTAACTGTTGGTAACATATACACTTTTGATCAAGTAACTGTTGGTAACATATACACTTTTGATCAAGTAACTGTTGGTAACATATACACTTTTGATGAAGTAACTGTTGGTAACATATACACTTTTGATCAAGTAACTGTTGGTAACATATACACTTTTAATCAAGTAACTGTTGGTAACATATACGCTTTTAATGATGTAACTGTTGGTAACATATACGCTTTTAATCAAGTAACTGTTGGTAACATATACGCTTTTAATCATATAACTGTTGGTAACATATACGCTTTTAATCAAGTAACTGTTGGTAACATATACGCTTTTGATCAAGTAACTGTTGGTAACATATACGCTTTTGATCAAGTAACTGTTGGTAACATATACGCTTTTGATCAAGTAACTGTTGGTAACATATACGCTTTTGATCAAGTAACTGTTGGTAACATATACGCTTTTGATCAAGTAACTGTTGGTAACATATACGCTTTTGATCAAGTAACTGTTGGTAACATATACGCTTTTGATCAAGTAACTGTTGGTAACATATACGCTTTTGATCAAGTAACTGTTGGTAACATATACGCTTTTGATCAAGTAACTGTTGGTAACATATACGCTTTTGATCAAGTAACTGTTGGTAACATATACGCTTTTGATCAAGTAACTGTTGGTAACATATACGCTTTTGATCAAGTAACTGTTGGTAACATATACGCTTTTGATCAAGTAACTGTTGGTAACATATACGCTTTTGATCAAGTAACTGTTGGTAACATATACGCTTTTGATCAAGTAACTGTTGGTAACATATACGCTTTTGATCATGTAACTGTTGGTAACATATACGCTTTTAATCATATAACTGTTGGTAACATCAACATCTTTTCTAATATTTTATGGGTAATGAGGCTGCACTCCCTCTTACCCTTTCTACAGTAAATAGGGAAGAGAAATATGCAATTTTTATTATTTCCTCGTATTGAAGGGATTTTAACCCTCGAGTCTAACCAGACCTAATGCCTGGTGTTCAGTATTATTTACTGTGGTCTTCAAGAACGTATCCATATTAGCTGGAAAGATTTTATTCCACGATGTAGGAAAATTTTCAATCATCAAAACACTTAACACAAACAATAGTAATTATAAGCAAAAATATATCATACGTATTCCAAACAATCTAGTGTTGTCGGAAATCCGACACACATGTTCACATAATATAGTTATCCATAAGCAAATTTAAAGAGAATGAGAGTTTTTCGTGACGTCATCACAACACACTCATATTTACATCATGTACATTTAAGCTTCCACAATTAGTCTTTAAAACAACAGGCTAGTGTTTAAACGTAATACAATAGTATTCACTGTGACTGGTTCTTAGATAATTATACCATACACCACAGGCTCCCTTGCTATTGTTAAATAAACTTAGTCCTTAAGACAGAGTTGGAACCAACAGAATATTGTTGGAACACGGGTGGCGCCTGGGGCAGGGCATGTGGGAACCGACCTGTGAGATTTATATTTATTTAATTTATATGAATTTATATTTACGTTAATTTGTATACTTCGATAGCAATTTGTATGATAAGTGGACTGTATTTCTGCAATAAACTCATAATCTCACAAATCGATCCTCTACACATTAGGGGGGTTTATATTAAATTTATATATATGCAGCCAATCAAACTACAGTATTAACTACACATTGAAGAGGTTCCTTATCTTATTGTACAGCAGGTCTTAGTCCACCAGGTATAACCAGGATGTAGACACCAAATTATCCTCTTTGAGGTAGCTTCCATCACCCAGTAACTGGTGCACAAAGTCTTGCTTCCTCGTCTTGACCTGTCAAAAGGGCGCTAGCTGTAAAGCCAGAATCCTAATATATGACAGCTATATCAGAGAAAACACTGTACATGGAACCATAAAGACCTGGCTTAATTACCTTTAGTATGAGGCGATCTCGTGATGCTCACCCTATCTAATGACATTAATGGCCATAAACGATAGATAAATGGGTTTCGGCAGAACACTTAACTTGTATTTGTTGACAGCGTGTTGATGATGGTACACCTTTGGTTTCCATAACACTTCGTCCAAGTAAAATTAACAGGAGCCGTATTTGCTCCCGTGAGCCTCTGTGGTCTAATTACAATAACAATGGCTGCCCGCTCCCTCACAACTGACGCTACTGGCCTACATTGTCCAGATGACAGTAAGTGATAGAAGGGTCACATTTACTCTATTTTAATTCTGATAATTAAGTTAATTTATATGAGATGTTTTTATGATGGTAAAGTCCAAAGACTAATGTATTTAAGAATAATTCCCACCATAATAGGTGGTGAATTTATAATAGTATGTGGTAATGATATTCCGTTTTCTATAGACGGAAATTCCACTACAGTTACATTTTCTATGGGTAACTTGTTTATACAACACAGCAATATTATCTGTCTGTAGGATATTATTAAATGGTGTCGGATTTTCCGACAGGGCAGTCACGCTCTCACACTCGGAGACAGAACCAAAACAAAGGGACGGGAGACAGTGTCTCCCCCTGAGGTTCACATACGCGGCCCTGCAAAGGTCTTAAGTGAGACCACCCAATAGTGATCCAGCCTTAGCAACTTCTACATCAACTACGGGAAGTATTGTATCCGGTCCACAAAGAGAATATATTTTAATAATTTATATGGACCTTTATAATTATAGTTATATGTCGTGTAATCCGGTTATAATGAACGAGAACCCCCCAAACCAGGGTAAGCCTGGGTTTTACTCTTACCATTGATTCCATTGCATTTTTGAATGCAGTTTAGTTCTCTCTAATTTATTCACAGGTGTGGTTCAAGGGAGGAAGTTACTGAGAAGCTGAGCACCAGCATAACCTGTGACGCTTTCATACACTAGCTGCTCCACTGACACCATATGAGTGCCAGGCACCATTACATGGCACAACTAGACTACATGTGCCACTCCCTAATCTGTTGGAGGAACCATTCACACAGCCTTTCAGGCCACATTAACCACACAGTTGAGGAACACTAAGTTGTATACTAATATAATTATAAGAGTAGTACTAACCAATGTAGTCTATTTACCACCATATGTTGTATCATTTATATAACCTTAAGGTAAATGCGTATAGTTTATTATATAACCACTCATTGTGGTATAAGCTGAATACATCCTACCCAACTATATACAGATAAATCATGGCAGCCTGAATCTAACATACAGTTCACTTAGAATCACAATTCAATATTGAAGTAAACTAAAAAATAGAAAATAAATATTCACTAAAAACAATAGACTGCCTGCTAGAATTACCCCACAAATGTTAAGATCAATAATTGAGTGTAATGACCCTGAAGTCTCTATGTCTTAGCTGGCAAAGCATCACATGTATCACGAAAATTGGTAAATATTCAAGAAATGCTTAGAGGTAAAATAAAAATCGGATTTAATGTCTCATAAACACTAATCGTCAGAAACATTTGACTTAAATTATATTAAACATACCATGAGAACAATAAAAACATTGAATAATGTTAACTTCTACCATTAATACAACAATTCACATAATGAACGTTTAATTGAAAGTATGTAAAAACAATATATATAATTCTAGGAATTCTCCCTCGGTGACAAGTCAGTTGAGAAGCATTTTGAGAGCTCGAGTGATGAATATTACTAGACACAAAAACCTATTATGAGACACAAAAACCCATTACGAGACACAAAAACCTATTATGAGACACAAAAACCCATTACGAGACACAAAAACCTATTATGAGACACAAAAACCCATTACGAGACACAAAAACCCATTACGAGACACAAAAACCTATTATGAGACACAAAAACCCATTACGAGACACAAAAACCTATTATGAGACACAAAAACCCATTACGAGACACAAAAACCCATTACGAGACACAAAAACCTATTATGAGACACAAAAACCTATTATGAGACACAAAAACCTATTACGAGACACAAAAACCTATTATGAGACACAAAAACCTATTATGAGACACAAAAACCTATTACGAGACACAAAAACCTATTACGAGACACAAAAACCTATTACGAGACACAAAAACCTATTACGAGACACAAAAACCTATTACGAGACACAAAAACCTATTACGAGACACAAAAACCTATTACGAGACACAAAAACCTATTATGAGACACAAAAACCTATTACGAGACACAAAAACCTATTACGAGACACAAAAACCTATTACGAGTCACAAAAACCTATTACGACACACAAAAACCTATTACGAGACACAAAAACCTATTACGAGACACAAAAACCTATTACGAGACACAAAAACCTATTACGAGACACAAAAACCTATTATGAGACACAAAAACCTATTACGAGACACAAAAACCTATTACGAGACACAAAAACCTATTACGAGTCACAAAAACCTATTACGAGACACAAAAACCTATTACGAGACACAAAAACCTATTACGAGACACAAAAACCTATTACGAGACACAAAAACCTATTACGAGTCACAAAAACCTATTATGAGCCACAAAAACCTATTACGAGACACAAAAACCTATTACGAGACAAAAACCTATTACGAGACACAAAAACCTATTACGAGACAAAAACCTATTACGAGACAAAAACCTATTACGAGACACAAAAACCTATTACGAGACACAAAAACCTATTACGAGACAAAAACCTATTACGAGACACAAAAACCTATTACGAGTCACAAAAACAAGTCATAAAATCACCTACACAAAAGGTCATACTCATCAGCCAAGTGACCAAGTCTACTAATAACAAGAAATCTTTTCCTCATCAAATAAGCATATACCAAGTGGGGAACACATAAGTAAATGATTTGCAAAACTTTGTTGCTTAAGAAGAGCTTCACCACCTATCGAACAATTGAGACAAAATTCCACGTAAGTTTGCACATTACAACGTTGAAGTCCTTAATCTTTGGTATATTGGCTTCTGGTATTAACTTGTAGCCTTCTAAAATAGCACATTTGACATAATCATAATCAAAGCTGTTCTTCATAGGCAACACAGCAAGTATTGATTGTGCTCTACACGTTGATTGAGCAGTGTTGTTAAAAGGCCACTGTTACTATGGCCATTCCATGCTAACTGCAACATTCTTAAAGTGTTAGAAATACGTGTCAGCCTCTTGTTTTCATTAAATAATGGGAATTTTACAGGGTTAGTTGACATGAGGCGAGTCAGGCTACG